CGTTCCCCGTGGCCGGCGGGAGGGGCGGGGGCGTCGCACGGAGGTGCCTGCCTCCCTTGGTGGCCAGGCCGTCTGCTTTCGTGTCCTCCCGTGACAGGTGCTCGGTTGGTCTGTCCTGTCAGAGCGAGGTATGACCGTTGAGATCTCAGAATGAGACCGAGGGTTGGTGTCTGGGACTTTTCAGGAAGCGGTTCCTTAAGGACTTATTTGTACGTGCGAAAGTCGGCAAAAACAAGGGCCCTGGGGCCAGAGTGTCCTCCCCAGACCCCTTCCCTGACTTGTCACTCAGGCTGTGACCTTGGGCCAGGCCTAGGCCTTCATTTTCTAATCTGTCACAGGGAGATGGCTGCGATTTAGTTTTGAGGATGCTGCAGTCAGCAGCAGGGCTGGCACCCTGTGTCACAGGTACCTTGTGGCCTTGGGAGTGTTCGCGCGCATCTCTGCAGCTTGGGTGCTGCTTAGGCAGCTTTGTTTGCCTTGTCTGAGCAATCTGTAACCTTGCACCTTCCGAATCCCACGTACTTAAGACTTGTTCTTTCCACAGTGGCTCTCCAGGGAAGAGGGAGAGGTTTTAGGCCACTGGTAAGAGCCACCAAAGGTGAAGGTTGCTTTCTTTCAGGGGTCTCCGTGCTTGGTGACACTCTGGAGAATAGTTTTTTTGTGGGGGGCTTATATTGAAGGCTTGGATTTCATAGGCTACATCATCTGGACTCAGTGTTCCCTAGGTCTCGGTCTTTTCAACCTGCCCTGTTGCTTATGAAGCTGCATCTGTGCTTCCAGCTCTTTGTTGTTTTGTGGAGTCCCAGGGTAGCCCTGGAGAGCCTCTGTGAGGAGAGGGGAGGGAAACGTGATTTGGCTGCTTGACTCCTTGGAGTGTTCCGTCAACGTTAATGCTGATGAAGGTTGGTGGGGAGAGGCCTGGACTTTATTCAGGTTTCGAAGAAGGTTTTGTGAAGCAGCTTTGTAATTTGGGAGGCCTGAGGTACCCATGGGGGGCCCTGCAAGGCAACAGGCATCTGTCAAAAGAACACCCAAGCAAGCGAGTTGTCGACAATGTCACACTGCTTGACACTTGGTTTCCCTAAAGAGTCCTGTGCCTCTGGAGGGCTGGGGCTGAGTTGTGACCTTGTCTGCCAGTTCACTGCACCTAGCCCAGCGCTAGGCATCTAATAGGTGCTTGTCTGTGCCGTGGTCTCTGCTAACTGCTGACTTTGTTTCAGGCGCTATGCTGGGCCTTCCTACCACCTGTGTGTGGCTTGGTAGTGGCCTAGGGTCTCTCCTCCCTGCTGAAGTCCCTCTCCTGCAGGTGGCCGTCTGCCCGGCCCAGCGCCATGCACACGCTTGTGTTCTTGAGCACGCGGCAGGTGCTGCAGTGCCAGCCAGCTGCCTGCCAGGCCCTGCCCCTGCTGCCACGCGAACTCTTCCCCCTGCTGTTCAAGGTGGCCTTCATGGACAAGAAGACAGTGGTACTGCGTGAGTTGGTACACACATGGCCCTTCCCGCTGCTCAGTTTCCAGCAGCTGCTACAGGAGTGTGCCCACTGCAGCCGTGCTCTCCTGCAGGAGCGGCCTAGCACTGAGAGCATGCAAGCCGTTATCCTGGGGCTGACTGCCCGGCTCCACACCCCAGAGCCTGGGGCCAGCACACAGCCCCTCTGCAGGTATGGACTTATCTGAAGGGTTGTCAGGCTAGGGGTGTGTAAGTGGGTCCCCTGAGAAGGTTCTAGGCTTGGGTGGTAAGGTTAGCAAGAGCTCATACAGGAGCAGGCGTGTTGCTCCTGTCCCAAGCTGGCTGGGAGGGGGTATGGGCCCTGCCCCTCGACCCCTTCCTCAGATCATTCCTACTCCCAGGAAGCATGTGCTGCGGGTGCTGGACATGACAGGCCTCTTGGATGATGGTGTGGAACAGGATCCTGGCACCATGAGCATGTGGGACTGTACTGCTGCCGTGGCTCGCACATGCATCGCCCAGCAGCAGGGGAGCGCCACAGAGCCTGGGCCAGCCCCCATCCCCGTGGAGGTGCGTGTGGACCTGCGGGTGAACCGGGCCTCCTATGCCTTCCTGCGGGAGGCACTCCGAAGCAGCGTGGGCAGCCCACTGCGGCTCTGCTGCCGGGACCTGCGAGCTGAGGACCTGCCCATGCGCAACACTGTGGCCCTGCTGCAGCTTCTGGATGCAGGCTGCCTGCGCCGCGTGGACCTGCGCTTCAACAACCTGGGCCTACGTGGCCTGTCTGTAATCATCCCACACGTGGCTCGCTTCCAGCACCTGGCCAGCCTGCGGCTCCACTATGTGCATGGGGATTCAAGGCAGCCCTCCGTGGATGGCGAGGACAACTTCCGCTACTTCCTTGCCCAGATGGGCCGCTTCACCTGTCTGCGCGAGCTCAGCATGGGCTCCTCTCTCCTTTCAGGGAGGCTGGACCAGCTGCTCAGGTGAGCGGGCCCCACCACTGCCCTGCCCCTCCCTTCTGTAGGGACCCTCCCTGGCTCTGCCTGTCTGTGACCCCTGTGTCCCCTGTAGCACCCTGCAGAGCCCCCTGGAGAGCCTGGAGTTGGCCTTCTGTGCTCTGTTGCCTGAGGACCTGCGCTTCCTGGCACAGAGCCCCCATGCTGCCCACCTCAAGAAGTTGGACCTGAGTGGTAACGACCTGTCTGGCAGCCAGCTGGCACCCTTCCAGGGTCTGCTGCAGGCATCAGCAGCCACACTGCTGCATCTGGAGCTGACTGAGTGCCAGCTTGCAGACACCCAGCTGTTGGCCACACTACCCATCCTGACTCGGTGCACCAGTCTCCGGTACCTTGGTCTCTATGGCAACCCACTGTCCATGGCGGGCCTCAAGGAGCTGTTGCGGGACTCAGTGGCGCAGGCTGAGCTGCGTACTGTGGTGCACCCCTTCCCTGTGGACTGCTATGAGGGCTTGCCCTGGCCGCCGCCTGCCTCTGTCCTGCTGGAGGCCTCTATCAATGAGGAGAAGTTTGCCCGCGTAGAAGCAGAGTTGCATCAGCTGCTTTTAGCCTCAGGCCGTGCCCATGTGCTCTGGACCACGGACATCTACGGGCGACTGGCTGCAGACTACTTCAGCCTATGATGAAGTAGCTCTGGGTGAGACACAGGCTGTCCTGCAGTCTCTTTAGGTAGGCAGGGCCTTTGCTGGGACCCTGGTGGAGGCCTGTCACAAAAGCACTGGTTTCTGGTTTCCTGCTGGGTCCACCTTGCTTCTGGGCACACCTCGAGCCTCCCCTGCTTTCTGCAGTGCCCCACGCGGTTTTCCCTGCACTTGTTCCATGATTGGCTGACCATCTGTGGGCCCCAGGGCTGGATGTCAGGCCTCCATTGCCCTGCTCAGTTTGGCTGCATTTGGCTGCCCTCTGGGGTCCTGGTCCTTTGTGCAAATGCTTTGGGATCCCACTTGTGAGTTGAGAGAGATGATGGCCTCTCTGAGCCTTTCCCATCCCTTTACTGAGAGCTCAGTGCTCTGGGGTTGAAGTTGGACAGAGGCTGCTTCAGGGAGGCTGGGGTCCCCAGGCACTCGTGCCTCTTAACGTGTTCCCTGCCCTGCCACCCAGCCACCCCACTGGGCTGGGCTCGGGCTGGAGGGGGTCATCAAGGTACAAATGTGCCTGGAAATTGAATTTATGGCTCTTTTTTTTTCTGTCCACATTGGTCAGCCTTATCCTTATCTCTGCTGTCACCATCCCCAACATGGCCACTGGGCAACAACTGCCATCCAGCCTGCCCGCAGGGTGGCCCCGTCTGCACTGCTGGCCAGTCTTTGCTCTTCCCACCTTTCGGAGGCCCAAGATCCTACCGTGGCCGGCCAGGGCCAGCGAGGGACCCCCTGCAGAGCTGGAGGTTGGGGTGATGGCTTTTTGGAAGAACTTCAAGGGAGGTGTTGGGGCCTCCCTGGCCACCTTCCATTGCTACCCCAGGATTCCCGAGTGCAACGCTCCCGGTGCGCGTCCCACAGACGGCTCACCGCACCCTGCGCGGCTTCCACCTTTACTGACCGAGCATGTGCGCGGCCGCGCCGGCCAATCCCCGGCGCCCACGTCATCTGCCCGCGCCCGCCGCCCTAGCAATGGATCTCGTAGGCGACTGGCGGGGGCACGCGGAGTCCCGGCCCCGCCCCCTCTGCTGGTCCGCAGTCTGCTGGCGCCTCTGCCGGACCCTCGGCGAAGAGTGGCTTGGAGCGGTTGATAACGAACATCTCGTGTCCGCGCTCGTCGCGGAGCTCCTCTAGCTGTGCGAACGTGCAGGGGCCGTCCGAGTAGTCGTTGACGAACAGCGCGCCCTCCCCCGGTGGCCCCCGCGCCTTTTTTCGCCTGCGGCGCCGGCGACAGATCATGGCGACCAGGAGCAGCGCCGTGAGCGCCAGCAGCGCGATGGCCGCCGCAATGGCCGTCTGCGTGGCCAGGCCCAGGGCGCGGAAGGCCATGCTTCCCGCCTCGGGCCGGGGCTCGCGACCAGCGGGGCGGGCGCCCGGAGGTGGCGGTTGCGCGGGCTGCTGCGGCTGCTGTCGGGACGCGTTGACCAGGAGTCGGAAGGGCACGCGGGCAGCGCCACCAGCATTGGAGGCCTCGCACTCGTACTTGCCGGCATGGGCCAGCGTGATGTTGCTGAGGAAGAGCATGCCGCTGCCCGTGTCGGATGCCGAGTGTCCGCCCAGGCCCGGCGCCCCGCCTTCTAGCTGGGCCTGGGCTTGCGGCCGGCCCTCGCGAGGCTGGGGCACCTTTCTCCAGGTCACCAATGGCTGCGGGTAGCCGGAGGCTTGGCAGGCAACCCGCAGGTCCTCACCCAGGTTGGCTGTGAGCTCCAGCGGCTGCACGTGGACAGAGGGCGGAATGCAGATGAGGCTGCTGTGGGATACGTCCAGGAGACTCTGGAGCGCCAGGCGCGGGGGCTCTGCACACATAATCTTCCTGTCCCTGGAGGTGAGCAGCCGCTGGCCGCCCTCCTTGATCCAGGCACCCAGCCAGTGCAGGGCGCAGTCACAGCGCCATGGGTTCTCTGTGGGAGAGCAGCATCAGGCAGGTGGCTTGAGGATGGTGCTACAACACAGCCTGTGCAGTTGGGGTTCTGCGGGCCAGGGCAGGGGCCTCTTTCCCACCTACCACAGCCTTTTCACACGGAGTCCAAGGCCCCTGCCACCCCTTCCTTCACCCCAAGCTCCTTGGGGCGGCAGCAGCCCTTCACCCCCGCCCCCCTCCGCTTTAGCTCTGTGATGCCTGTTACAGATCACTTCTGCGTCAGTCTCTGAGAAAGCACCTGCTCCTCAAATCTTCCTGCAACAAGTGCCACTGTTTTTAGGAACCTGGGCTTCCACATAGGCATCTCACCAGCACTGAAACCTTACAAGTCCTCTCAGCCTTGTCTTTGGATGTCCTCTCGGGAATGTCCCCAGTCCTGATCAGCTGTCTCTCTCCTTTGCAATTTTTGCCTCCCCTCTGAGGGCCTAAAAGTGTACAGAATCCTCAACTCTGTTAAGTCACCCTGTGGGGTTCCTGTCTTGTCTTCCTCAGGCAGGGTGCCTGAGCTGTATCCCCCAACACGCCCATTCCCGCAGCCCTCCACTGTGGCTGCAGGCGGTGGTGCCGCCCTCCAGACTGCTGCCCAGTTGCCTGCTATCAAAGCCCCTCCACACATGAGCCTGTTCCCTACTGCCACCACCTGGCCAAGACAGAGACACTTTCCGAGGAAGAGGTACCTGTGAGGCGCAGGACTTGCAGACTGGCCAGGGGCTGCAGCGCCTCTCGGCTGATGGTACCCAGCTGGTTCCTGCTGAGGTCCAGCAGTGCTAGGGAGGACAGCCCCGCTAGAGCCTGGTCCTCCAGCAGCTCAATGCTGTTTTCTTGCAGGTGAAGCTCCTGCAGTCGCTGAAGTAGGGACAGCAGATCGTGAGGAAAAAGGGCGCCGAGGTTGGGGGCATGCCCCCCCCTTCTTACCAAGCTACACTACGTTGCCTTTTCTAACTACTCCTGCCCTACAGGGCGAGCGGCCATAATGGAGTCTCCCGCCCCTTCAGACCCCAGGCGCTCACCGGCAGGTGCAAGAAGGTGAAATCCAGCAGCCGCGCCAGCTGGTTGCCCGCCAGGTAGAGCACGCGCAGCTGGGCCAGGCCTGCGAAGGCGCCG